CCCTCAAATACTTTAAATGGAATCGGAGAGAGCGCGGGGAAACCGACGCGACGGTTCGGAGGAGAAAGAACGATTTTATTAATTCGCGATGAATTTTTACGAGCCCGCATTAAGATTAGAAGAAACTATAAATTGTTAATTAAGCAATTCCACTAAATAACATTTCGCCGAGTCCTCGTTATAACCGGAACAAATTCGAAACTCTTTGCGTACCTCTCCTTTTGTTTCGCTACGAAATCGCTCCGCGACGGAGCCTTTCGCCTGATTAGAATCGAAACTCTTCTTCGCTAAAATGCGCAAATTTCTACGAATCGTCTTCCGAGTTTTATATGAAGCACGCCGACAATCGGAGTCAATTGTTTTCGTATTGCTGCAGCCGATTGTTTACCAGATACGGCAAGGTTGTTGACAGACATTTCGAAAAATAATGACCGGAATTTAAATTCAAATTTGCAGTAAATCAAATGAAAAAAGAAAGGAAAAGAAAACGTGAAACGAGACGCGGAAATATTCTCGACAATATACCTATATTGGTGAGTCGTTTGTTGTATACTGGAGGAAGCGGGAGATTTTGTTAGAGCGATTAGAAGGAAAAATAGTGCTGTTAAGGAATATTGGAATACTTAATTTATCTAGAGATGGAATAATCCTATGAGTTACATATTGAATGAAAATTTAATTAAACTCAATACACAGTTGCAAAATATTTAATGGGAAATAATATGGGACGGGATAATAAATATTATTATATCCTGGATAATTCTCAATTTTCAGAATTTTCTAAATCTGACAAATTTATGATGTAAGAGGACATTTTATTTTTTTTTATTTCAAAATTATTACTGCTATTTATTATTAATTATACAATTATTTAGGTAGGTAACTAAAAAGAAATAATTTTTTTTAGGAAATTCTCGTCTTGTCGGAAGAATTTCGAACTCGTTGAAACGAAATAAAGTGAAAAGAACGAAAGACGAAGAAACAAGAAGAAAATTCCGAAAGAAATATCTCCATTTCCGAACAATATAGCACTCAAACGGTGTATTTGTCACCTTTTCACATGCAAAATTCGCGAGGGGCACATCCACGGCCGATATTTTTCCCATTCGTCCCCGTCGAGGGGGCGATTTCGCGTAATTTATAGCGAAATAATGTCAATTTTTCGAGTTGGTAAACGCGTTTCGGATACACTTTCCACTTTCGGCATTCGATTCCTGCGTTCTGGCGCCCATTTCGACGAAAAATAAAAAATAATATACTGCCTCTTTCGGCGGGGCGGCGGCGGCGGATCCGCAGCGTGCGAAAGGAAACAAGTCTTTTACGATTGCTTTCACAAAACCGATAAATCTATTATACTTTTTCATCGTTGTTGGAGCGAATTTATTAAGAAATATTTTATTCCTTAAATTACTGCAATTTGCGAACATAATACAAACACATAATTTTGTTATTCTCCAACTTTGTATTCTCCAAATGCGAACTTCCAGTTACCTAATACTTTGCAACCATCGACCGTGGAGATAGTAAATGATTTTAATTACATATTTAATTACCAAAGACCCCGCCTGCAGGCTGGAAAATGAAAAAAATCGTCCGTTTGTTCATTTCCAGCATTGCTCGCACTAGCAGTGTCGTTACTTACAACTTTCATCAAATACATTTCACCCAACAAATTTAATCAACCAATTTATATGACTACACAATGCAAGGAATATACAGTGAGTTCGCTCTAAAGTAGATAAATAATAAGTAAAAGAAACAATTTTTAAATAGACATATAAGAAAGTGTATTATAATATAATAAAATCTAATGAAAGTTAAATATTATTAATATTTTCCTGTGTTATATAAGTATCTATCTACGTCATTGGTAAAGGAAACGCAGCCATAGTCATCGGATTTTTCCTCACTTAACAACGTGTAAATTACCGGGAGTTACAAGAGCGAGCGGGAGGCGAGAAGAAGAGCCAGAGAGTAGTCGTAGGACTAAATTAAAATCTAATGATTAATTTAACGGCGTCTGGAATTGCAGCTTCATCACCGAACGAAACGTTTTTCGCCAGGAAGAACGGCCTGATTAAAAATGTCAACTTGCACTTATCGTCCGGGAGAAAGGCTCGTATATTATAAGGTTAACTAAGTTTTCAGAAGTGGGACTTGAACGCGCCCCGGCCAGGCGCTGGCCGGTCGCCCGTTCTCCTCCGTCTTCTTCGCCTCTCGTCTTTTCTCCTCTCGCGCGCGAGGCTCCTTCATTTTTAGAGATGATGATTTTTCGCCCGCCCGCCGACTGATAATGAAAATGAATTTCACCAGACTCATTATCTCGTGTATAAATATTAGCCGTTGCTCGGCTTTTTAAAAAGGAAATTTTCGGCGATAAATTCACGAAACCGTTTCGGATAATGTTTGAATTTTGTTTATTTGATTATACCCTAAACGAGCCCCCAAACGTCTTTATGCTTACTCTCACCTCTTATTGTTAGTATAATACTGATTAAATATTTTGCATTAATTACACTATGTCACAATTTGTTTTACACCATTCTATTGTCAGTTCTAAATAGTTTTCGACAATTCTGATGCGTCCTGAAGCTAAACCTAATAATTCTGAAGAGTTATGATATGCAACTTTTCAGGAAAATAGTGTCACACAAGGCGCAAGTATTAAAAATAATTAATGACTTGTATAGACAACCGTTGTAGAAAAATTCCAAGAAACAGTTCCACCAGGAAGAGCGGCAATTAATTCTAATTCCCAGCGATTCCGGCAAAATCGTCCAAAGGGATTTATGGCCGCGGCTCCGACGAGCCCGACTTTTTCTTTTCCAAAAGGCACTTCGAAACCGACGAACGGGGGCTCGGCGAATCCACCATCGCCGCCTCTCTCTTCGCCGACGCCGCGCCACCACCACCAGCTCATGTCACATTTTCGGTTAATAAGCTGTATCTGGATTCGTCGCAGCGCCCATTCCACCGCCGGTACCGGAGATCCGGTTCCGAAGCATTTAGCTTTTATACTTTGGAAATTCGCAGGAAGACGTTCCTAATATACCGTCGTGAATGTCGTATTATAATTTTGATTTATACGTGAGTAGAAGTCGCGGAGAAAGTTGGACCGGGACCTATTTTATTGCCGTCCCCATTGTTACTAAGTATTTATGCGGCCGTTGTCTAAGATTGCGCGCTCCGGGAGCGTTTTCTTGTATAGGATCGTTCGCTTCTCGCCGCTCGTCGAGGTCTCTAACGACTATCTAGACGGATATGCAATTTCCCTTTATTATCGATTATATTTATCCTACTCTAACACCCTCCAATAAAATAAATATACACTAAACACTAAAATCTCTACATCTACCTACAAAAAATAACCATTATTAAGTGAATGAAATGAATGCTGGATTAGTAGAGGTATTGTTCAGTTTTAAGGTAAAATACGTTAAATGGAGATTAAACGATTTATTCCAAACGGGGAATTTTAAGATCGCCGGCACAGAACACAAAAGACAACTTTCCAAAAAAGCGGAAATGAAGAAATAAAATTCTTTAATGAATTCCCTCTGGGCGCACGTACCGATGAGATTTTCATTAATACCGCGTCCGGTCAGGATTCGGTTATATAGCTAAGTAAAAAAAAATATACCGCCATAAAGGGGGTCCGCGATTCGATTGTTTTAAATTAAGGGATAAATGCAAATCAGGGCATTGTTGCGTTCTTTCAATTGTTACTTAAAACGCGCCGGCATCGCTGTGATTTTTTTTCCGTGTTGTTTTCAAAGAATTGTATTAAGGGATCTTTTGTTTTATGCCGTAAATCTTTTGTTTCGGATTTGTGGCGTTACGGTGGTGACTCGATTTTGCGGCCCGTGTTCGGAAACGGGAGTAAAAATTTATCGCCTTCATTAACATCGGAACGAACGGACGGAACTGATAATATTGGTGGTTAAATGCAAATGCACGAGAGCCTGCGATAAAGACCCTATAAAATATACACTCGTTTCATAGAGAACAAATTTACGAAAGTAAGTACGCGGAATTTATTTAGGCACATATAGGATCTTTTTATTAGATAATGTATAATTATTATTGTTATATACGGCGGTATCGCGACGCCCTCGCAACCACACGAAATATGCCCGTCTTGCTTTTTACGAACCCAATAAAAAGTATGCGTTTAATTTCTGTCTGTAACTAGCCGGTCACGCAAAAACAAACACGCCGAAAACGACCCCTCATTAATCGCGCGCTCGGCCGCAACATGGGAAAGTGGTAAACTAAGGACTCTTCAGAGGGCCACTGGACTTGTCCACTAAATGTTGTTTAAGATGATTGGATCTGAGACTAGAAGGAGATTTCCCTTTTCTCATGAACTACAACCGACGAGATATAGCTCGGGAAGGTACAGTAAACCAATTTGTTCCAGACATGTTTCTCTTTCTGGTCTAACTATTTATTTGTACGGATGTAAGTGGAGATAATAGGATAATATGTTCTGGAAACACAATTGATGATCGTTGGGAATTTGGGAAATTAAAAATGTTATCAGTGAAGAATAAACAATGTTCCTATATGGTTTATAAACTATACAGTTTATAAAGAAGATAAATAAATTTGCACCAAAGTGATAGTTTAAAAATTATTGAATCGAAATGTCAAGATAAAACAAATTTTTATAAAACACTAAACCAGTATTACCCATTAATATATCCTATCCAGAGGATATGCTTTCAATGAATGTTCCCCATATTTATACATCTCACAAACCATACAAGGTAATATTAACAAAATACTTATTCAAATTTTCATTCTATAAGTATTATTCTAACTAACCTTCATTAATTTTGAACGATAATAACTCAAATTTATGTTAATATTCTCAGTTTCTGTATCTCAAAGTAAACGAACCCCATATGAAATTTTGAGGTTATGTACAAGAAAATCAATAACTCACTAACTTCAACAAGCCGTAAATCGGTTAATTTATAAATAATAGAAAGCATTACCTGGTGTATGACATTATCTCCTTGTTTTCCTCTGGCTGCTTTCAAATTTAGTGTTAATACACAATTGTTTTGGAAGTCCCAACTGAACAAAACATTATCATGCACCACCACTAAGTTCATGGTTTTATTAATATTTTTCGGCAACGACTCGCGCAATTCTTTAAATATTTTGTGATTATTCAATCGCAAATAATCCGTGGAAGACATTTTAGTAACAATTTGAAATTACAGTTGTAAACAGAAATAAGCCGCATACAAAAATCAGCTGATGGAGGAAATGTCATTTGTCAGTGTAGCAGGTTCGCCAACTTCTGAATGTCAATGTCACTAATAGATCTAGTACACTTTCAATTTTATTATAATAATTTGTTTGTAAAAGGATTGTTTTGAGGTGTGAAAAAAGGATCAGTAGAATGATTTTATTGATAAATTGTTTTAAAGCATAATGATTAATGAGTTAGAAAGAATATTTTGGTTATAGTTATTTATTTAATCTAGTACACTTTGAATATAAACTGTATTTAGACAGGGTTGTATTTGGGGGGCATAGAATTTTATTACTTTTAAAAATAACGTAAAATTTATTTTGTAGATATAAAATTGTTATATAAAAATCTGTTATATTTAAATTATTTATATACTAAAATAAATAATTAAAATAATAATGTTGTGTAAATGTCCACTCGATTTCGTCCTGCTGATAATTCCGTAACCAATTTCCTGGAAACTCCGAAATAAGCCATCAGATCGAGCCATCAACCCCCCCTATAAATCATCCCCCGGAATACATATTCGATCCGGAACGGGAACTCACTCACGAAGAGACAATAATATTTCAAGAAGGCCATTAGAGCAAGGGACTAAATTTGACATGACGTACGATGTGTGTCTGCTCGTCTCCCGGTTCCTCCTTTTATTGATACCCCAGTCAGGTATGCCTCCGATGCCTCGGCTCGTCTATAGGGAACGCCATCGATATATCTAACAGTCGGGACATCTGTCACTAGTTCGCTTTACCAGACGGTCCCGCGAACAAATTTTACTTTTACTCGATACTTCACATCAACGTATTCCCTTAGAAATATTTAGTTCATCCAGTAACACCATAAAAGTATCAATTATGGTTTTTAAATTGGCTCATAAAAAGGAGCTGGTGAGTTCTAAATTGGTTTTAAGATAACAGTAGATGAAAATTTTATGTGTGCCATGTTGGGAGCTTTGACCATCCTGTAGCTGCGTAAGGAAAGCCATCAGTTTCCCGCGGAACTATTTTGTAAATCGAACGCGTCCGAAACGTTCCGCACAATCAGAAAATTTGATTAGATACACCAACGATTCGGTCGCTGGATGTAGATGTTGTCGCAGAACAAACAATTTTTTAAACCATTTGATCGATCCTCTAACATTACTCAAATATTAATAGCTTTAATTTTTATACGATTGAACTAGAACATCTCGAAACAGAAACTTATATCTTCTGTTTAAGTTAGAAACAGGGCGAAGAAAGAGGTAGATTTTGGTATCCATAAATGCGACGAAAATTCCAGGAGAGCAGCATTAGCATTCAGCCGAGCTCAGCTTCATTTATTTACATCGAAATTCCACATTTCCAGTAAAACGAAACGTGGAAATTCGGCTTTATACATTTTATTGCGAACGAAGACCCTATCTGTACTGACACCTCTCCTTATAACCATTCAAACATTTCAAAAAGCCTCTCGAACACGGGCGTTTTCCGTCTCGCTCGCCATCACCCGGCGAAACGAGAGCGCGAGAAAAAGAGCAAAGACCGCGTTCGAAGACAAAAACAGTCGAAACGCGATAAAATAATTACAGCAAATCATTACGATGCAAATTTTCTTTAACTTCTATATCCAGTGTTTGCAAAACAGAGTTCCTCGGAATAATATTCCGGATTAATTCGGGATATCTTCGAGTAGATCAGTCCTTAATGTTTCTTATCCCTTTTCGTGGCGTTCTCCCCGAGGAACCCTTTACTTTCGACACACGAAATATTACGGTTGTATCGCTGATATTCCTGCTTTCGCATATTTCTGGCCGTTTTTCGGGAACTCCTTTTGCGGCGATTGTCTCCATTAAATTAAAGCAGAATTTCTTCCGTCTCCGCCTTGATATTCTGACGATGCAATCGTAACTTACGAAACGCCGACTGATCCAATGCATTATGCTTTCGTAGGAAACTCACCCTCTCGAATTAATCGAAGGCAAACAATCTAACGAACCGGATTTTTGTGTTAACAAGTATTAGAATTTTATGAAACGTTTCTAACCCCTTTTCATTGACTCGCTGCTTAATTTGTTTGCCCAGAAATTAATCTTTATATTGGGAAATTCGAGCGGCAATTTCTTAGGTAAATATTTTTTTATTCCATCATGCCACTTCTTTGTTTGTTTGACTTGAAACCTATATTAGTAGGTGCCTAATGAATTTTCCACATAATCCCATCACCCTGGAATTTAATAAATGGATAAAATTCGTCGCGTCAGATATAATAAAAAAACCCCAAGTAACAAATGATGGAAAACAATTAACTATTAAGTACGATTTTCATTCCGGTATCGCCGTATCAAAGTTATAGATATGAACGTGGGGGAGGAATAAACGTGTCAAACATTTTTATTACGTACAGATCATTAATAACGTCGACAGGCGTCCTCCATCATTGGATATAAGTGACATATATCCCGATGGAACTCAACAATCTCCATAAATATATTACTTTCGCTTTCCATTGTCGATTCCTCGTATATTATACTTACAGGGTGGATTTTTTTGTAGGTACTACAACGTAAACTTTGCATTGAATAAACGTATCCCATTCGATTGGAAACCTGAATAAATAATTCCGAGTCGTTAGAAATTCGTCCCGGAGCGAATTGCTTCAACGAAGCGAAAATTAGAAAATTGCAAAGTAGAGTGTGTGTGTTCGTAGTGCAAACGAAAGGATATCAAAAAGGTCCAGTCGCAGGGAAAGAGAACGCCCGAATCCAGCGGTTCGCCGATACATTCGAAACCCGCAGGATGGACAGTCCTTTTCGGTCGGACGCATTCGATGCGCTTCAAAGGACTTCTTTTGTCCTTTCTCTGATCTCTAATCTCCGATACCGCGACGGCGGCTCTCAAAATGTCCATTCAACATTTTTTAACACAGTCTTATCAATAATAAAAGATAATTCCTGGTACTAATAAGATAATTGGAATTAACTCGTTAATTCATTATTAGAAGGGTTGTTAAATGACTGAAGTAATTGATGATATCGTGGACATTTTGAGTACCACTGTTTCAACCGATTGGGTTGCGTCTTTAATTAGCGAAGACAAAGAGAGTTAAACCCGTATTGTCAATGAATAGGTATCGTTTATGTACAAATACGACCCTCTGATAGTACAAATTACACGATTCTCTTGTCCAGTTGTTCAACTCTGGAATGACCCCCATCCGGAAACCTGCTCCAGATCGCAGGAGGAACTTGTTACCAAAAAGTATGTGCATACATTTTTTAAAATATTTTGGATTAAAAAAATCGTAACAAGAAAATATTGCTAATTAAAAAGACTGGTTCTATAGTTTGGATCTTTAGCATAACTTTTTAATCAGGCAATTTGGGCGAGGTAAAATCTGATAATTAATTAAAGCAATCGATTTTCAATCCACCAGTGTGATGTCGGTGTGGAATATTCGATTTGTAAAAGGGACAAATGAGCCGCGTAATTGTATGTCATACGCAAATTAATCTTTCACCGCACCTTGACTGGTCGCAATGGACTAATGGCTTTTTATTTGGGCGTATACCGATAATCAAATAATTTAAATTAAACGGCGCGACATTAACTGGTAACCTACCCTGATTAATACGCGAACTAATTGAATTATATTTTTATGAAAACGAGCAAAAAACCTCCCTCGAACTAATTAAACGCAGATAATGAATACCTTCGCTAAAAGTCCAAACAAGAGTTTCGGCGGGACATTAATTATAATAAGAATGTTGTGTGTTGGTGGTAAGTACGTCGTATATTTCAACCCTCTGTCGTCGTTCTATTGCTGATAATTCGCTAGATAAGAAAATTTGAGGAAACAAAGTAAACCATAGTTTTTTATTGTCCCCACCCGTTTTACAAGCCGCAATCGCAGTAAACCGAGACCGTCTTGGCTACGTAAACAATGGGCGTTCGAGCCATAATTCATAATCTATTGTGACGGAGGCGTGAACAGTCTTACCAACTTTACTGACTGAAGATTAACAGCGTCTAATCTTCGGCCAACTTTACATACATAAATATTCCTATATATCTCCCGGAGAGCCGACAAGAAACCCATATCTTTGATATTGTTGGTTTAATCGTCGAGATATACCGGACTTTGGCGTTATTTCTTCGCTCTCTCCTTCGTTCCCCGCACCTTCGAATGCCGCCCTGCTTTATTATGTTCGGATGGTTATTAGGCTTGTCTCCAGGATTTTAAGACGGCGATAACTCGAATCTGATACGCTCTTAGTTTACAATCGGGAGCGAAATTAAATTTATTAACAAACATAATACGTTCCGCTCAAGTTACTATCTAAATTCCCAGTTTGAAGAATCTTATTGCTCGACTAAGTTTATAACGAGCACTCGTCTCTAGTCGACTCGTCGCGCGAACGTCGCACGCGTGGAATACGACGGTTAAAACAAAAATATATCGTATATGCACAACCGTTTTCATGAGAATATTTTTTCGTCAAGCGGGAGATATCTTATTAAACGCCAAACTCCGCGAATCCCGCGTGCTTCGGTATTCAAAAGTTCAGATTTATTGCTTTTAATATCCATATACGAGTGGTAATACGTTAGTCTTTGTATTGATGCCTTAATATCGCTATTTCATATATCATCATCATGTGTAAGAGCCGTTTTCTATTATAGTCGATGCGCTTTAAATTGTACTTTTTACGATTAACGAGAAAATATTGTTGCACAAGATTATTAAAATTTAATAAAGAAGTAGGTTTTGGAATGGAGAAAATAAAATCTAAAATTTCATTATGGGAATTTACAGGTGTCGTTAAGAAATACAGGTAAATGTGGATATGTTGAAAAAAATTTAATCGAGCTCATATACTATTGAAACGGAGTGAAACTTTATATTTTACTTTTGACTATATTAAAAATCGTGATGGGTTTCGAATAGAAGCCTGGGAACAGCTGCATAATACCCTGGAAAAGACAGATATTACAGCGGAAATTACGGAATTCGATGTG